CACACACACACACACACACACACACACACACACACACACACACACACTGTGGCTCCTGCATACATAATAAATTAAGAAAAAAAATTGTAAAGATGTAAGAACATAGTAAGGTAACAAGTGAAACCCTAAGTGTGTGTGTGTGTGTGTGTGTGTGTGTGTGTGTGTGCCTTCCAGCCTGCCCCACCAGTGTTTTCCCTAAAATGAGAGCTTGTCCTACCCTCCATCTTCAGAAGTCCCTTCTCATGAAAAAGAAAAGAAGGGCATTGTCCACACTCTGCTCTCTTTGTCTTTCTTCTTCAGTGTTGGGAATGGTGCTCAGGGCCTGGTGTGCAGAGCAAGTTCTCCACCCCTAACTCACACTTCTAGAACTTTTTTTTTTTTTGGTTTTTGAGACAGGGTTTCTCTGTGTAGCCTTGGCTGTCCTGGTCTGGCTTTATAGACCAGGCTGGCCTTAACTCACAGAGCCACCTGCCTCTGCCTCCTGGGGTGCTGGGATTACAAGCTAATGCCACTACCACGCCTGCCTGGCTTCTAGCACCTCCCTTATATTAGTGTATAGTATTGATTGTCCAAAATTACAGGTACCAAGATGACATTTTCACAGTAGGACATATCGTGTGCTTTCCTAACACCAGCTCCTTTTTCTTTTCTTAAAAGATGTGTGTTTTCCCTTTGTTTGTTTGTTTGTTTCTCTCTTTCTTTCTGAGATAGGGTTTTTGTATGTAGCCCTGGTGCCTCTGCCATCTGAGTGCTGGAATTAAGGATGTATGCCACCATGCCCAGCTTTTCTTTTCTTTTTCTTTTTTATAAAAAGATTTCTTTAAGTTCAAGTCGGTCTGTGGTGGCACAAGCCTTCACTCCTAGCACTCAGGGAGGCAGAGGCAGGTGGAGTTTGAGGCCAGCCTGGTCTACAGAGTGAGTTCCAGGACAGCCAGGGCTACACAGAAACTCTGTCTTGGGAACAAAAAAAAAAAAAAAAAAGGATTTAATTTTATATGTAACTGTATGTGTGTACGGGTGCCCACAGAAGCTAGAAGCTGTCCTCTGGGGCCCTGCTCCCTTGCCCATCCCTGTGCAGTCTCAGCCTGGCTGGCTGTGACTGTTAGGAAGAGCACCTCTGCTCAGGGTCCCCCCACAGGCCTCTTTCTGCCCCTCCCCATCTCCACAACAGGCTCTTTCTTTATCACCAGGCCACTGGAGACCTTCAGCCGATCGGCCCAGCCCCCTGGTTTCGGCAGTGGGGGTGGACAGGGAACACCTGAGCTCAGGTAGAATCGTGGGCATGTGCGTGTGTGTTGGGGGGGGGTGGTAGTTTTCTAGGCCGTTGCCTTGGTAATGCCACCTGAGCTGGGCGCCAGGCACCTGTTGTCTGGGAAACTGTAGGCGGGGCCTCTCCCCAAGGAACTGCCAGGGTTATTGAGCTGAGACTGGAGACAGATCAGATTCCAGAGAGTTCTGAAGGGATGGGGGATGGGGAGATGGTGTGATGATGGCTAGTGAGAGCTTATTTGCCCCATCATAAGAGAATGGTGGTGAAGAGTGAGCGGGCTCGGGCTGAGAGCTCATCTGCCCACCTCTCTGTTCCGTGCCGATCAACTGACTGCTCTCTTCCCTTTTCTGTTCGTCTCGTCTTCCTGGAATTCCTTTGTTCAGGAGTTTCCACTTGGTCTTGGCACCAGACCCTAACTCCGAGGGCCCCATCCCACCCCCTTTTCACCATTGCTCTGGTTCTGCTACCCAATGGCAGCCTCCAGGTCCTTGGCTGGGCTCCTCCCCTGCCTAGGCCTTAAAAACCCGCCTTCAGCCAGCGCCCTCAGACGCCCCAGGTGGCACCTCACCGGTCCCTATTTTGCGGCAAGCTGTCTACCAGCTGAGAGGACGTCAACCAAGAAAGTACGGGAGCAGCCAGCAGAGAAGAGTCCATGGCAGATCTGGAGGGTTGTGACGGGCCCAAAGCTTCCTAGGAGACTCGCAATCCAGCTGAGCAGGGCCCAAGGACGTCTTTGTACTCAGTGAGTATCAGATGCTTGAGAGGCCCGCAGACGTGAGGTCCGCCCTAGCCTGAGGTCAGCAGATCCCCCATCCCGAGCACCGAGACCCACCGGAACTCCAACGTGGTGTTCTCAACCCTGAGTTTATTCAGGCCGAGAGCTGAGAAGACCCGAGGAGCAGATGGCTTCCACTGGCCTTGAACTCCTTGGCCTGACCCTGGCTGTGCTGGGATGGCTAGGGACCCTGGTGTCCTGCGCCCTGCCGCTGTGGAAGGTGACCGCCTTCATTGGTAACAGCATCGTGGTGGCCCAGGTGGTGTGGGAGGGGCTGTGGATGTCCTGCGTGGTCCAGAGCACCGGCCAGATGCAGTGCAAGGTGTACGACTCTCTGCTGGCGCTGCCCCAGGACCTGCAGGCCGCCAGAGCCCTCTGCGTCGTTGCCCTCCTGCTGGCTCTGCTGGGCCTGCTGGTGGCCATCACAGGTGCCCAGTGCACCACCTGTGTGGAGGACGAAGGTGCCAAGGCCCGCATTGTGCTCACCGCAGGGATCCTCCTCCTCCTCTCAGGCATTCTGGTGCTCATTCCCGTCTGCTGGACAGCCCACGCCATCATCCAAGATTTCTATAACCCGCTGGTGGCCGAAGCCCTCAAGAGAGAGCTGGGGGCCTCCCTCTACCTGGGCTGGGCAGCGGCGGCACTGCTCATGCTAGGCGGGGGGCTCCTCTGCTGTACGTGTCCCCCCGCCCAATTTGAACGGCCCCGTGGACCCAGGCTGGGCTACTCCATCCCTTCCCGTTCAGGTGCTTCGGGCCTGGATAAGAGGGACTATGTGTGAGGCTGATGCTCCCTCCGGAAACTCCCACCTTGCACCCGCCTTATATTCCGGCACTGAGTTGCACCCTTGCACCTCACCAACCTTGTGCGCCTGGGAAGCTCTGTTTGGCCATGACTTGGCCCTCGGGGATCTCAGCTGGTTTGGCTTGAGCCAACCCTCCTCAGTGGTTGCAACCTTGAGAAAGCTCCAGATACTGGGTACCCTGGCCCAGGCCTGCCTCCCGGGATGCTGCTGTGGTTTGCTCTCCTCCTCAGCTGAGCCCCAGCCTCCTTGCCTTCAAAATAAGATGTGGACTGTGACCTAACAGCCTTCAGCTGGTCAAGACTAGCCCAACCGCCACCTGAATCCAAGCTGTTCAGCCCCCTCCCCAGGCTGGGAATAAAAGCACATTGTAACTGAGCTTCCTCTGATCTGTGAAAGGTGTGCGAGTTCGCGTGCACGAGTTTGTGTGTGTGTGTGTTTTCCAGGGTCCAGCCAGTGACCAGCTTGCTTAGACCATGGAGTCTGAGCCAAAGACTTGGAATGGCCTGTGACCGCCACCTAACTCTAGTGAGGCTCAACCAAACACCAAGTGACACTAGAGACACATTATTTAAAAAAAAAAAAAAAAGTTTTATTTAGTAAAACATTGTGGGCAGGTAAATGTGCAAGGGTTAGAGGTGTGGGGTGGAGTCCGCAGCACAGCTGGGACCTTATTTGGGAGAGTCTGTGTTAACTTTGGTGATGGGATTCAGGGGTCAAAGGTTGGAAGACTCAGGGTAGAAAATTCTTTGGTAACTTATCACCTGCCTTTCCAGGACTGGGAAAGTCTGACGAGGATGGGGCGGGGTGTCTGTCCTAAGAGTTACCTCCAGCAGCAGCAGGAACTCTTGGGACAGGCCATCCCTGAGGATCACAAAGGCCAGATTCACAAGCAACCTCAAAACAGGGTCCAGAGAAGATCCCCAGAGTGAAAAGACACAGAAACCCAAGCGATGTGCTACCACAATGCCAGCAGCAGAGCTAGGCGGAGCCTGGAAAGCTAAAGCTGGAGGCCAGTCAGAGCTCCAGGAGAGCCTGTCTCAAAAACAGATGGAACCAAGCCTCGGGGCAGGTTACCACACCACTCACTGGTAGAGCGCTTGGCCTACCAAAGGGGTGAGGCCCCAGGTTCAGTACAAAGTACCGCAACAAACAAAGCTACTGGCATCATTTCCTGATGGCTCAGCTCAGGGTCCTAGGGTTCCCTGGCTAATGAACAGAGCCTCACTTCCCAGGGAGCATCAGACGTAATTCTTGGTGGGGTACTCGGAGGGTCCCCGAGAAACTGAATGTGGGGCAGACGTGGAATAGCGGGCCATGTAATGGCCGGGTCCCCGGGTCCCTCTCGAAGAGCAGGCACAGCACAGCAGCCCCCCACCCATCAGCAGAAGGCCCGAGGCTGCCCAGCCCAGGTAGAGGGAGGGCCCCAGCTCCCGCTTTTGAGCATCAGCCACCAAGGGGTTGTAGAAGTCCTGGATGATGGAGTGGGCCGTCCAGCAGACAGGAATGAGGATCAGGATGCCGGCGAGGACGAAGATGACCCCAGACATGAGCACCAGGCGAGACTTGGAATTCTTATCATCCACACAGGTGGTGCACTTGGCCCCAGCAAGGTACACCATCATGCCGAGCAGGACAATGAGGAGGGCGACGACGCAGAGGGCTCTGGCGGCCTGCAGGTCCTGGGGCAGCGCCAGCAGAGAGTCGTACACCTTGCACTGCATCTGGCCGGTGCTCTGGACCACGCAGGACATCCACAGCCCCTCCCACACCACCTGGGCCACCACGATGCTGTTGCCAATGAAGGCGGTCACCTTCCACATGGGCAGGGCGCAGGACACCAGGGCGTTGACCCAGCCGAGCAGGGTCAGGGCAATCCCCAAGATTTGCAGACCAGCGGAGGCCATGATGAGGTTGAGGGGGCTGTGGAGTGAAGGAGGAAGAAGCAGGAGGGTTAGAGTCCTAACTTGCCAGCTGTGATACCAGCACCAAGTACCCTGACAACCGGCTAGTAATATGTCCCTGCAGTGTGGGTCAGATACCCTCCCTGGGCCAATCAAGAGCAAAATAAGCATCTAATTCTTCCCTGGTCTGTTACAGGTAAAGAATGAAATCCTGGTTTGCCTGTGGATGACAGGAAACAGGACATAGCTGAAGCATAGGCCAGTCCACACAGCGACAGACAGCGACATTTAAAAACAAAACAAAACAAAAAAAAACTCTTTTAGCTGAGACGGGGTCCTGTATGGCCCAGGTTGGCTGGCCTTACTTTCCCGTGTAGCTGAGGCTGACCTTGCACTTCTGGTCCTCCTACACTCTACCTCCCTGAAAGCTGGGGTGACTGGCTTTTACCCACCAAGCAGTGCTGGTGCATGAACCAGGAGCTTTGTGGACGTTAGGCAAGCGCTCTACAGATGGAGCCATGTGTAGAGCCACTTCCTCAGGGACATTTTATCAAAACAAAGGGAGTGGCATGTCAGGGGTGCAGCTTCTGACAGCCAGGCTCTGGCACTCAGGTGAGATCGCAGGCCTCCTCCCACCTCCCAGGGTTCAAATGGAAACCTCTGGCCCCGTTTCAGATGGCTCTAAGTCCTAGAAATCCCAGGCATACCGCACCCTCTGCTATGCTCCACCGTCATCTCCTCCCAATTCCAGGGAGTTCCTGGAAGCCCTTCTAGGCCAGGCTCAGCCTGGAGGGCAAGAGAGACGAGGAAAAAGAAACCCTTTCATCCAAAAGCACTCCCCGCCCCCCAGGCTACCACCCTCCACCTCCGCAAGGTGCATGCCCTCAAGGCTGGGAGCATTCTTTTGAATTTTAGACCGAAGGCCATGCTACTGTTCCTCCCTCGACACAGCTTAAGGAGCTAAAAGTTCAAGACCCCAGTGCCTTCTGTGACAGGCTGCATCCGTGCCTTCACATCGTTGGCACTAAGGGAATCAGTTCTTCTTGGAGCCATGCTGTGTGGCTCCCAATTACCCTCCGTTTTAAAGGTGCACCTTGCCCCTAAGAATGGCATAGGCCCCTTTCGACTCCTCTCTCACTTGGCAGTCTCACGCTGGAGATGTGGGTCAATTTCTGGAAAGACATTCCTTCTTGCCCTCCTTCTCATTTCTGTCCCTCTCCCCTTACCCGAGTGCTCACTCGGCTTTGTCCGAGGGCTGTCCCGCTCGGCCAACCTGGACTGGTTGGCTATTCAAGCCCAGGAATGAGCGACCAGGAGGGGCTTAATGGCGGCGCCCGCAGCTGGGTCCGCGACTCCAGGTAAGGGGGAAGGTAGTCCCGCCCCACAGAGTCCAAGCAGGTGGAGGAGGGGCGTCCCGGGTTTCGGTGCCTTTGTCCCGGGGTGGGGGGAGGGGCGTCTAACTTTCCTGGGGCCGCAGGGACCCGATCGCCTCGCAGGGCTAGATGCAACCCTCTCTCGCCTAGGGATATGCCGACCCAGGTGGCCGCCACCAGGACCAAAGCTCCAGCCCTCTACCCGCGCTCGCTCGCTCGCTCGCACCCTAACACACCCCTGCCTCTCTCCACACCCGCAAGGCACAGACTTACCCAGGTGCACCTGCCACAGAGAATGCAAAGATTCCCAGGTCGAGAGTAGGGACGAAGGCGGAGACAAGGGGGTCTTAAAGTCGCAATGACGTCAACGCACCACCTCCCTCTGGGAGGAGCGGAGACCCCCGCCCCGACGGCAGGCAGAAGGTGTTGCCCTCAGCTGCTGGCCACTCCGGCGGCCGCACCTGCTCCCTGCTGAGTTCAGCGACCCGGGCTGTGCCTCGAGGGTTCACTCAGCTTTCCCCAGACCCAGTGTCTTACGTTGCGAATGGAACAGCTCTGCGCGTTACCTGAGGACACATTGCTTTTGTGGCTTTTTTTTGGGGGGGGGGGGGGGGGGGGGTTGGGCACCTGTCACACCGCATACCTGTGGTCAGAGGATTACTTGGGAGAGCTGGTTCTCTTCTTTCACTCTGTGGGCCCCGGGGATCAAACTCAGGCTTGGCAGCAGGCACCTTACCCGCTGAGCCATCTGGTTCTTTGTTATGCCCCCAGGCCCTTATGAAAGCAGCATGTGGGTCTGGAAAGATGGCTCCCGGGTGAGGAGGCTTTCTGCTCTTCCAGGTGACCGAGGGTGTTTGCAGCCAGCTCACAACCATCTGTAACTTCACCTCCGTTGCCCTCTTTTGGATTCCAGGGACGCTCATACACATGTGGCACACACACACACACACACACACACACACACACACACACACACGCACGCACACACATAAAAAATAAATCTTTTAAAAAAGTAGCTTGTATAGCTTGCAGTACCTTTTACTGATACCGGAGAATGCGGAGATTGAAACCAGCCTGAGCTATACAGCAAGTTTGTCTCATACCCCGCCCCCCCCAAAAAAAACCCAAAGAACATGTGGGTGAGCTGGCGCCTGTCTGCAATCCTAGCACTTGGGAAGTTGAGGTAGAAGTGTTTCGAGTTCGAGGCTAGTCTGGGATAGACTGAGATCCTGTCTCAAAACACCAAAACGAAAGCAAGCAAGCAAGCAGACAGAAAGGCCGTGTGGCTATACCTCAGTGCTTGCTTGGTGTGTCCGACCCTCTGGTCTCCACCCCAGAACTGCAAAATAGACCAAAGATAATTTATTTGTACTTTAAAAAGAAGAAGAAAACCGGTGCAGTTATGTCTTAGAGTTGATTTTCCCCGCTCCACACCGTTGGGACTGAAGCTCCCAGAGGGCGAGGCGGAGTAGACTCAGCGGCGTCCCTTTGGAGGGACAGAGTTGAATGAATGGCTTAACTTAGCCGCTCGCTCTCGGCCGCGCTGGGCGGAGAGGCTGTCGGGGCGGGCAGAGGCAGGCTCCGCCCCGGAAGACGGGGGCGGGGGCGGGCCCAGCCCCGAGACTTGGCCGGCGGGTGGTGGGACAGACCGCTGTTTCCTCGGGACCGGCAGTCATGGCTCTGGGCTGGCCGCGGCCTCTGCCGCAGGTCCTCGTGCTGGGATTCGGGCTGGTGCTGATGCGCGCCGCAGCCGGGGAGCAAGCACCAGGTACGCCTGGCTCAGAGGTCGGGGACGCTCGGACTGGGGGTGGCCGGGAACGGAATTTGGGTCCCTAGAGAACCGAGCGAAGCGGGGGAAGCGGTGGACTTGAGGATCTGCGAGGTCTTAGGCAGTGTGGGCTAAGTTGGGGAGACCTCTTTCCAAGCTTTCTCCACAATCTGAGCCTCAGGTTCGCTAGCTGTCCAACTTTGGTGTGGGGTCTTCTGTCCCACACCAAAGTGAGAGCTGGAGTGGAGAAAGAAAGTAAACTCGGGGCAGGAAGTTTGTTTAGGGAGAGGGGCATGCCCTTAGCCGGGTCTGTCATGGGGTCTGCCCAGTCCTGGTATCTGAGAACCCCGAAGGGGCACTGGGGACTTTGCCCTCTATACCATGTGGGGGTGCCCCTTCCATCCGGTGACTTCAATGCCCAGTTATGCGGGGGGAGGGACTGGGGTCGGGACCGGTGCCCAGGAGTGAGTCACACTCTGGAGAGGGGGGGGGAACCTGTCGTCCCCCCCCCCCCAGTCCCGCGCCGCCCGACCCCCTCCCGCACTGCCGTGTCTGGGTCAGGCGGTGCGGTCACCTGTGAGGAATGCGGGGATGGGGGGGGCGATGGTGACTCACGTTACTTGAGTCGTCTGACCCTGACCTCAGCCCCCAGAATAGCCGCGCCCAGCCGCCAGCACTGACCTGCAGCCCCCTCCCCAGGCACCGCCCCATGCTCTAGCGGCAGCTCCTGGAGCGTGGATCTCGACAAGTGCATGGACTGCGGTTCGTGTCCCGCGAGACCGCACAGCGACTTCTGCCTGGGCTGTGAGTTGGGGGCGGGGCCGGTGGCGAGCGGATCCCAGACTGGGGTAGAGAGGGCTGTTGGGGCTGAGAAGAGGGGTTGTGGGCTTAGAATATAGGAAATCAGGGAAGACTGGCCGAGGGGGGGCTTCCCTTAGGGTGGGGGATACTGTGTGGGGTGAAGCTTGAGACCCCCTTGAGGGCTGACTGGCGTCCCAAGGACGAGTTGTGACTTGAGCGTCGGCCACTAGGTGCTGCGGTACCGCCTGCCCCCTTCAGGCTGCTCTGGCCCATTCTGGGAGGCGCTCTTAGTCTGGCCCTGGTCTTGGCGCTGCTTTCTGGTTTCCTGGTCTGGAGACGATGCCGCAGGAGAGAAAAGTTTACTAGTAAGTGAGCTCCCCACCCTCGCTCCTCCCTCCCACTTCCCTAATTGCCCCCTAATCTTGACAACTCCACTTCTTATCTTCCAGCCCCCATAGAGGAGACTGGTGGAGAGGGCTGCCCAGGTGTGGCACTGATCCAGTGAGGAGCACCCGCGCTGGTGCCCACTCATCGTTCATTCATTCATTCTGGAGCCAGCCTGGCCTTCCAGACGCAACCCGAGCCAGACTCTTCCAACCACAGGGGGTGGGATGAGGTGGTGATTCACCTCCACGGACTGGGCTTAGGGTTCAGCAGAGCCTTCCAAGTTGTCTGATTGTCCTGTCTTTGGTTGGGGCAGAGCCTCGAACTGGGTCACAAAGTGATGCATGCCAAGGAACTGCAGCATTTGCACAAGGGAGCCTTGCCCCCCCCCCCCCGGAGTCCAGGAAGCCAGGCAGACACAACACTAGGTCCTACCCACTTGGAGGGACTGAAATTCAACTACCCTGACTTTCAGCCCTGGGAATGGGTCAGATTTAGGGATCTGTTTTTAACACTAAGGGGGCTGGCCCTCTGGGAGGGCTGGCCCTAATACACAAACACACAACCCATCCCCCAAGGGGGTGATATTTATTGGGGGATAAAGTTTGGAGGGGAGGGAGACTTATTAATAAAAGAATCTTTAACTTTAAATGGGTTGGAGTGTGGCCTGATCCCTAGCTCGACTCCCCAGAACTGGGGGGAGGGGGGGAGGGAGGCAGTCAGTCGGCCACTGCGGGGGCGGGGGTGAGGCTCTGACTCACACATTCTCAATGCCTGGAGCCCAGCCTGCCAGGACCTGGCTTGCCCTCACCGTTTTCCAGGGAAGATTTTGAGGAGAAAACCCCAGCGTCCAGCACTCCACCCTCCCCAAAGGCTGAGAAACTTTCAACTGCTCACAAATCTTTATTGACTAATGGGGTGATACTTTCCTTTCCCCAGGCTACTACCCCTCCCATCGAGGGTTCCACTGAGCTCAGTATCCTGTCAGGGGAAGGTCCTGGTGCCCAGGCACCTGGTTTGGAGAAGGACCTCATCCTTCTCTTGGGGTTGCTGGTCTTTGTTGTCAGGAACAAGGTGAGGAGGAGGAAGGACCACTGGCCATCAGCACTCAGAGCTCCATGATGTCCCCAGATGGGGATGCTGGGTAGTAGGGACCTGGGGTATCGCCCAGTCTCAGCAGCCTGAGGGCCTCAGGGATCAGGCTTCCAGGATAGCGCCAGAGAAGCAGCTCTGGGCAAGAGGTCCTGAAAGAAGAAAAAGGACAGTGAAAGTACGGGGCAGAAGGCTGGCCTGGCAGAGCCACTTCCTACCAGGTCCAGATCCTGTGGAGCCAAAGATGGAAAACAGCACAGAAGTTGGTGAGAAGCTAAAAATAGCCTGATGAGGCAGAGCGTGAGGAGGGGCTCTGAGGACCAAATGTGTTCCTCCAGAAGGCCCAGCAAGGGGAGGTGCCTACCTGAGCGGAGGCAGGGCTTGCGGAAAAGTCACAGGGGGACTGCAGTAGGGGTGGTCATTGTGTAGGCTGAGTCGGGAGAAGTGGGTGGCCATGTTCTCAGACAGGAAGTGCTTGTGCAGGCCTTCCCTGGGGGAAAGACCAGAGAGAAATAGAGGCAGGGATGTTGACAGTGGAAGCAAATTGATGAGGACCAAGAGTGGCATCTTGGAAGTCCCATCCGGCCCCAAACTTAGTAGCTCCTTCTCCAGGGGTCTCCGTGCCCATCGCACAGCTCCACGGAGAGAGCAGTTGGGAAATAACACCAGGTCGTAGCCCACCCCCTTTGCCCCTTCCTAAAGATCTCTCCACCTGAGCCTGCAGGTGTAAGCCAGGATTCCACAATCAGTCCCGTCTGTGTGGCCTGAGCCACCTTCCTCTCCCAGGCCATCCACCAGCTACCTCTGAAATCCTGACCTTGGCCTCCCAGCTTCCACACGAGCTCAAGCACCACGGTTTCCTGCACCGCCTGGCCTCACTTCCCAGGATCGCCCGTGCTGACTGGCCCTGGGTCCCCTAGCCAAAGCTCTTGCCCTCCGTTAGTCCGGCCCACCGCTTACGCACCTGGCATCCAGGCCACGAGTCACCCCAGCGGTGGCCCGTGGGTCCCGACTTGGGGGGCCTCGCTCCAGGGGCTGTTGCAGTATCATTACGGTTCGGGGTCCTGCAGATAGAGGGGTGGGAACCAGGCGGCAGAGGCGGAGCCTTTGAGGGCGTGGCACAACGCGAGGGGCGGGGCCACCGGCGTGCGCACTGGAGACGTTCTACGCAGGCGCGGAAGACGAGCAGCGCGAGGTTAGAAGGCGGGACGGGTCGGCGGGGTGGGGGAGGGGATCCGGCGTAGCTGAACAGCTCCGGGCCCTGCCAAGCATAAGTGTGCTTCGCGGAGCTCTCCTAGGTTTCTGTGGTTCGAGACAGCACGGACCTGCCGCCTTAGTTGTTGAGCGGCAGACAGTGCCGGGTCCTGGGGCGCAGCGAGACGAGCCGCTCTCAGGCACGTTGGGAGTCGAGAGGTTGTGGCACGCGTAGAGCCCTCTGGGACTTGTAGTTCCGAAGATGGACTACGCCGCACCGCTCGCGGTGCCTCTGGGTCAGGTGAGTCGAGTGTGCACACGGTGCCTTCTGGGGTTTGTAGTCTTGCTCTGACCGGACGGCCAAGGCGTGTTTCAGCGTACCTGGTGTTCATAGGTGGTTTATGGCGCTCAGACTCTGACCTCCAAAAAAGTGACCCCGAACTTTGGGATCTAATAGTGACAGAAGGAGTAAATGTCAGTACATTTCACTGTGCAGGGTAATAAGGCCACTTAAAAAATTTTTAGCACCGTTGAACGAGCTTAAATCTCAGCATTGGGGAGCAAGAGGCAGACATATCTCTGAGTTTGAAACTAGTCTGCTGCATAGAGAATTTCAGATCACGAAGGTTATATAGTCAGACCTTGACTCAAAAATAATAACATAATTGTACACGAGCCCTGCCCTCTGCTTAAGTAAGCCCAGGGCCTTGGATGGATTGAGAACGTGCTCAATTTATCATTCAGTTCTACCCCAGCCCAAGAACTGCTTACTGTTGGAGAGACAGTCTCACAGACCTTGCGTTTTCTTTGGACTTTGTCATGTAATGGAGAATGACCTTGACTTCTGCTCCTCCTCACCCTTACCTTCCTGTTGAGTGTTGCCGCCGCAACGCCCGATATATACAGTGCTGGTGCTTTGGGGAAGAATAAGCTTTAGGAGTTGGAGAGATAGCGAGGACCTGAGCTGGGTTCCCGGTTCTCCCGGTCCAAAGCTTGTAACTGCCTGTTAACTCCAGCTCCAGGGGTTCTGAAACTGGCCTCTGTGGACACCAGTACGCAATACACATATACGCCTAATTAAAAGCAATAAAGACAATTTTTTAAAAATAAAGCAAGGGGCTGGAGAGATGGCTCAGCAATTAAGAGCACTGGCTGCTCTTCCAGAAGTGCCGAGATCAAGCCACATGGTGGCTCACAGCCATCTGTAATGTGATCTGATGCCCCCTTCTGGTGTGCATGAAAACAGAGCATTCATACACATTAAATAAATAAATCTTAAAAGGTGAGGGGGGGGCGCCCTGGAGAGATGGCTCAGTGGCTAGGACACTGACTGACCTTCCAGAGGACAGGAGTTCAAATCCCAGCACCCACATGGCAGCTCACAACTGTCTGTAACTACAAGATCTGACATTCTCACATAGACATGTGCAGGCAGAACACCAATGCACATAAAATAAAGGTTCAAACAAACAAAGAAAAAGCATATTCCACCAATTGAGTGGCACCACCTTGAATATATATTTTTTTGAAATTTGAAACAAGGACTCACGGCGTACATCAGATCTGCCTGCCTCTGTCTCTCGATGTTGGGATGGAGTGAAGTGTGCCACACACTCGGCCCACTTATTTTCTTGTAAGATTTATTCATTGTTTTATGTGTGTAAGTGTGTTCTGTGTGTGGTTATGGTACCCTCAGCCAGCAGAGCCATCACAGGAGGCTGGAGAAATGACCCACTGGTTAAAAGCACTTCAGAAGAACCTAGTTTAGCTCCTAAGAGCCATATGCGGGTAGGCTCACAGCTGCCGGAAATCCAGTTCCAGGAGATCCAAAAACCCTCTTCTAGTCTTCATGGCATACAGACATGAGTGTAGGAGCACGCACTCACACACGTGCACACAAATCTTTAGAAAAACAAGCAAACAAACAAAACAAGCCTGATGACTTAATTCAGAAGGAGGCAGATGTCTATGAGGCCAGCCTGATCCACAGTGAGTTCTGGGCCAGAGAGGGCTTCTTATGAGACCCTTTCTGGGAGGGTGGGAGAAGTAGGAGGAGATGTCAGCATCGGATCCCCTGGAACTGGAGCCACAGGTGGCTTTGTGGTCTGCCATGTGGGTGCCATGAGGGGACTCTACAATAGCAGAGCACTTACCTGCTTAGCCATCTGTCCAGACCTTGTCCTCCCATCTAGCTCTCCCCCTCCAACTCCCCCCTTCAGCTCTCCCCTCCAACTCCCCCCTCTAGCTATGCCATCTGTCCAGACCACCTCCCATATTCTAAAGAGTGATTTATTATTTTGAGCCACTTAGGGGGGTTTGTTTGTTTTTGTTTTTATTATTTTGTTTTTGAGACAGGGTTTCTCTGTGTAGCCATGGCTGTCCCTGACTTACTTTGTAGACCAGGCTGGCCTCGAACCCGCAGTGATCTGCTGCCTCTGCTCCTGCCTGCAGCTCCTGAGTGCTGGGATTGCAGTCCCAGGCTATGTGATGTGCAGTGCTGGGGACTGAGCCTGAGGCTTGCACATGCTAGCCAAGCACTCTGCCAATTCAGTTACATCCTCCGATGTGTGTGTGTGTGTGTGTGTGTACTTGAGACTATCATGTAGCCCAGGCTACCCATGAATTCACTATAGCTAAGGATAACCTTGAATTACCACTGGTCCTCCTGTCCCCAACTATCAGGTGCTGGGATTGAATTGTGTACTGCAGTATTTTTTTTTAAAGATTTATTTATTTATTATTTATACAGTACTCTTCCTGCATGTAGGCCTACACATCAGAAGGGTGCCCCAGGTCTCTTTACAGATGGTTGTGAGCCACCATGTGGTTGCTGGGAATTGAACTCAGGACCTTTGGAAGAACAGCCAGTGCTCTTAACCTCTGAGCCATCTCTCCAGCCCTGCAGTATTCTTAATACTTATTAATTCACCTAATCATGATGGAATTTCCAGTGAGTGTCATCTGTCTACTAAGCTGATAGGAGAGGCTCGGTCTCGCTCAAGTTTTAGGCCTCATTCCTCAGTTCTGCCTGTCTCGCTCTCTTCCTGGAGCCACACCTGTGTGGGTGATACCTGTGGTTGTGGCTGAGAAGGGCCGAGAGGTCTGAGCAGGGGGGCGAGCAGGAGTGTGTAGGAGGAGGCCCTGCTTCCCGACTTTCTTCATCCGCCCTCTTCCACAGGCTGAGGTATTTCAAGCCCTGCAGCGGCTGCACATGACCATCTTCTCCCAGAGCGTCTCGCCCTGTGGGAAGTTTCTGGCAGCTGGCAACAATTACGGGCAGATCGCCATCTTCAGGTACACTCTACCCCGATTCCCAGCAGCCCACAAGAGCCCTGGTACTTGTGCCTTCCGGGATTGGTGCTCCCCGCTTCTGACTCTCCACTCCTCCCTACCTCCCTTTCAGTTTGTCCGCTGCCCTGAGTTCAGAGGCCAAAGAAGAAAGCAAAAAACCTGTGGTGACCTTCCGTGGTGGGTATGACTGTTGAGCCTGGTTCAGATGTCGGGATAGAGAAGGGCACAGGGGCTCATTAACGTTTTCTGTGTCTCTTTAGCCCATGATGGGCCTGTCTACACCATGGTCTCCACAGACCGGCATCTTCTCAGTGCTGGGGATGGGGAGGTGAAGGGCTGGCTTTGGGCAGAAATTCTCAAGAAGGTAAGGAGTCTGGAGCCTGGGGAAGAGCTGGGCTTCCCCGCCCGGTGAGGTTTTGGGGTGATTCGGTGTTTTCTCTGTGAAGGGCTGTAAGGAACTGTGGCGTCGGCAGCCCCCATACAGGTGAGCCAGGACCACGTGGAGGACCTGTGAGTTGCAGACCCTTCATCTATGATTCTGACCTTTGCCTTCCTCCTAGGACCAGCCTGGAAGTACCTGAGATCAATGCCCTGCTACTTGTCCCCAAGGTCTGAGTTGTTTGTGACCATTCTAGGCCAACATTGATCCTTTGCTCTTTCCCCACCGCGGTGACACTGACTCTCAGCTCTCCCCCGCCACCCTCCATAGGAGAATTCGCTAATCCTCGCTGGGGGAGATTGTCAGCTGCATACTATGGACCTGGAAACTGGGACCTTCACTGTGAGCAGGGGTCTGGAGGCAGGGCAGATCCGGGCCACAGGTGGTGCGCCTCCTGGATCTCCTCCTGAGCCTCCTCTCTTCCCTGCAGCGGGCCCTCCGGGGCCACACAGACTACATCCATTGCCTGGCACTGAGGGAACGCAGCCCTGAGGTGCTGTCCGGTGGTGAGGACGGAGCTGTGCGGCTTTGGGGTAAGGAAAAGTCCAATTAGAAGGTAGGAAAGTCAGCCGGGTGTGGTGGTGCACGGCTATGACCCCAGCACTTGGGAGGCAGAGGCAGGTGGATCTCTGTGAGTTCAAGGCCAGCCTGGTCTCTGTAGTGAGTTCCCGGACAGCCAGAGCTATGTAGAGACCCTGTCTCAAAAACGTAACAAAAGGGAAAAAAACCTAAAACTAAAACTGAGAAGGTGGTGGGGTGGGGCTCCGGCTTTGTGTGGCGCATTGAGATCCCTGGGGCTTTTATTTCCCCACAGATCTCCGTATAGCCAAAGAAGTCCAGACCATTGAAGTTTACAAGCATGAGGTGAGGAGAGACCTCCGTTCTTGTCCCCTTGCTTGTCTGTCCTCGGATGTCCTCACATGTTCCCTCCCTCCCAGGAGTGCTCAAGGCCCCACAATGGGCGCTGGATTGGGTGTTTGGCTACCGACTCAGACTGGATGGTGAGCTGTGCAGAGGGTGGGAAGGAGTGAGTGAGTGGTCACTGAAAGTCTGTGGCTACCAGGGACTGGGGTCTGCTGTCTTCCTGCCCAGGTCTGTGGAGGGGGCCCGGCCCTCACCCTCTGGCACCTCAGATCTTCCACACCCACCACTGTCTTTCCCATTCGGGCACCACAGAAGCACGTCACCTTCTACCAGGACCTGGTGAGACCCTCTCTCTCGCTCTGTCCCCTCATCCAGTGCCCCTGTCTAGACCTGACCCCTGCACCTCCTCCTTATCCTCCACAGATCCTGTCTGCTGGCCAGGGCTGTTGTGTCAACCACTGGCAACTGAGTGGGGAACTTAAGGCCCAGGTGCCTGGCTCCTCCCCAGGGCTCCTCAGCCTGAGCCTCAACCAGCAGCCAGCAGCCCCAGAGTGCAAGGTGGGTCCTGGACGGGATGTGGGATCTCACTGGGCCTGTGGGATGGGAGGGTCAGCCCGCATGTCTTCTTGGCCTCCAGGTCCTGACTGCCTCTGGCAACAGCTGTCGAGTGGATGTCTTCACTAACCTGGGCTACCGAGCCTTCTCCATGTCTTTCTGACATCGTGATCCCCTCCATTTCAAGAGCTAGAGTGATGTTTGGGGATGGGGTTTTATACGTGAGCCCAGGTTGGCCTGGGACTCACTCTGTGGCTCAGCTTGTTCTCAAATGTAGAGCAGACTTCCCACCTGTCTCCAAAGTGCCAGGATTTAGATCTATATAAACCATCACACTCAGCTTTTTTTATTTGTTTGTTTTTTTCAAAATAAAGTTTTTGGCTTTTTTCTTGTTTGCACTTTCTACCCAAAAATAGAGACCGAGTAAGCATAATGATTTATATATTCCTCTGACTTATCCTTACACATAAATACCCGCCCCCGCCCCACCAGGGCAGGGCCTGGTGCTTAGAATAGACCTAGATAGATTAGAAAAATAAACAGCTCTGCCCCCGCCACCCAGCTGGGGCTCCTGCCCCACAGCTGGCCCCTGCTCCCAAAGCGCCTCTGTCCACCTCTTGGGGCACGGAGACAATGGCCTCCTCTGGAAGTCATTCAGACCCCGTGGTTCCAATGGCTGAAAGGAAAGTGAGCTCCAGAGTGAGAAAAAGTGGCCCTGCCGCCCAGCCCTCAGGTCCTTCGGAAAAAGTTGCTTAGAAAGCCTCCACTCTGCAGTGAGAAGCGGGTCTTGGAGCGGCGCGGGGCGGCTGCAGCCTCGCTGAGCTCCTTCTGGCGCTGGGAGCGCAGCTGCTGACCGATCACCACCTGCATGTCGTCCTGCGGGAGGCGCAGCGGGGTGGGTATGGGGGTGGGGTCCGGCCCGACGCCCGTCCACCCGTCCTGCCTGCCCCGGGCCGCCCTCTCACCTGCCAAGCCTCCAGCTCCTGCGTCAGCGCCACCTTCTGGCGGATGGCGCGCATCAGCTCCCGGGACAGAGAGTCCCGCTCTAGGGAGACACGGCTGAGCTCCAGGGACAGCTTCAGCGCTCTAGGAAGGAAACGGGTGGAGGACAGGGTGCGTGAGGGGGCGGGGCGCCGGAGTGCAGCCCCCTCTGAGGCAGTGGGTGCCAACGCCAGGCTCACCTGTTCACCGCTTCGTCCCGGTCGGAGAGCGCACAGCCCAGGGCTTCCTCGGGGTTGTCCTGAGCCCTCAGCTCCTTTTGCCGCTGCAGCTCATCCCGCAGGGTCTGGAGCTCTGTGCGGTGCAGCGCGATCTACAGGCGGAGGACGGAGGGACACTGGCACCGGAGCCTTGTAGGACAACCTGCCCTCCTGCAGCCTGTGCCTGCCCCGTAAACGCTGCACGCGACTCAGGCGGAGCCTCAGTGAGACTGCTGGGGCCTGATGAGGGGCAGAGCTGGGGAAGGGCGGGGAGGGTGAGCCTTCAGCAGGAGGGAGAAGCGTAGGGAGGACAGCAGAGCCCCAGAAGGCTTTCGGGAGGATCCCCGCTCAGGAAGCGAGCCTGCGGGTGAACTGAGGAGGGGGCCTGGGAGGGATGGGAAAGAACTGGACGTCTGGGGCCTCTGCGCGCAGTACCACGCACGCCCTCGCCCACCTCGCCCTGCAGTCGGGCCACTTCCGCCTCCTTCTCCTCCAGTATCTCCCCCGGGCTCAGGGATGCTCGCTTCTTGGGCGGCTCCAGGCTCTCTTCCTGGATTGAAGGCGGGGGACTGGGGGACTCCTGAGTCTCCGGCGACAAGACGGTCTGTAGGTCAAAGGAACGGCTCAGTGCTCCACGGTGCCTCTGGGGAAAGGAGGGAGGGGCGGAGCCTGCATCCCTCGGTAGTTATTTGAATGTGGGCCTGGCAGGCCACAAGGTCACCTGGGCGCCTCCACACTCGATGACACGCTGGTCTTGGTCCTGGTCGCTGTCAAGGCTGTGCGCAAGCTCGGTCTGTAGGGAGGCACCCGACACTTCGGCGTCCTGGAGGCGCGACTCCTCCTCCAGCTCCGAGACCCGCCGCTGCAGCCTCCGAAGCGTGCTCAGCGCCTCCCCAGCCTCGAAGCGAGCTCGGTCCAGCTGCAGGTCACACACAGCGCGCCGGCTGTCAGCGGGAAGCCTGCGTTCTGCGGTGGGCCCACAGGGGGCGCCCGAGGGCAACGCCAGGGTCCGCTCTCCCCCCCC